TCAAGCCTCTTCTCATTTAACATATCCATGCTGTATTCAGGTCTCTTGAAAGTCTCTCACGGACAAACAAGTTCCATTTGCTAAAGGTACCAAACTTGGCTGATGCAACATGCATCTCCTTTGTGCAAGGCAGGGAAAGGCTGTGTGGTTTATGCAACAAAACGCCAGCTGTCAGACAGTTCCTCTAACGCAAAACACGTGTGGAAGCAAAACACGTGTGGAAGCAGTGGGGCTTGCTACCAGTTTGATTGATGATGTTCTCCCTCGGCATGTACAGTTGACCAGATTCTATTACAGCCTGACCTATATATTTCAGGCCAAAGGTGCTACTGACTGTAGAGTGTTTGAAAACAAAAACCTGCCTCATTTTGCTCTGTACTGTAGTGCACTGTATTTTTTATTAGCATTTCCTCATAAATTATGCAAATGAGGTCATTATTTGAATTGATGTTGAGTTGATGTTTAATGATGTTCACCTTCATTTAACTTTCAAATATCCTAAGTATGGAATTCGAGGCAGTTATCATTGCTGAATTATAACATATACTCATTAATTATGCAAATTAAGTCTTAATTTACATAATCGATATCTGCCTGTGTTTCTCTTGGTCTCAATTACACATGCCACAAGCTTGAATAGTCCTATTATGTGATGCAACTGATTTATGGAATTTCCTCATGAATTATGCAAATTACAGCAATATTTGCATAATACTCACATTATTATGTCAAACATCACTTAAGTTACCTACACACCAAAAACCCTGACGATCCATCAATCGGTTATTGAGTTATCCTCTTTTAAACATTTGTCCTTTAAACCCCTCTGCAGTTCTAGAGCAAGCAACTAGGGGGCCCAAACTCATGTCACTTCATCCCCAGCACAAGAGCTATCTACCATCTAAATTTCGTCACCCTAGCATGTCTGGATCGTGAGATATCAAACCCGGAAGTTCTGCTGCAGTACCATGACAAGCCGCCAGGCGGCCCAAAATCTAATCATTTTGAGGTCTCATCAAGACCTACCCACCTACCAAATATCAAGTCAGTCCGTTTAAGCCTTCTCAAGTTATAGTGTTTACAGACAGACACACACACAAACACACACATACACGAACGCCTCTGAAAACATAACCTTCTTGGCGAAGGTAATTAGGGAGTAGTGCGAACCAGCCGGGTTAACTGTGCAAACAAGCAACTGGAAGTAGTTGGGCTTAAATCAGCTGGCACAGTGGGGAAGGGCACGGTTTAAGATTCTGATTAGAAGTAGTTTTAAAAGGAGACACCTGGACTGGCAGAACATGAAGGTCTCCATTTTGTATAGCTCACAATGCATTTTCAACATGATCCAAAAAGAGGTTTTGTTGCCAACTTGGCTTTCGTTTAACTTTGAACTTGCCAAGGTAGCCATTTTGAATCAAATTTGTGTTGGCTACAAGAAGGTTAAACATAATTTGTGTTCAAGTTCTACAATAATAAGCTCATTTTGTAAGGCATCCCAGCTGTCCTGCTTTAGACTGATGTTTGGGAAGTCCACCCTTTTGGCAGCGTACTTCAATGCATAACAATCCTAGGCCCTCTTCTGTCCCAACATCCATTTGATGGATGGATGAGCAAAGTTTACCTTTACAACACCAGACAGCTTGGTATGAAATTGTT